GCCTGCTTGTTTTAAGACGTATGGACTTCAACTCCCAGAATTCCCCACCCAGTTATGACAGTTGAAGTGTCCCATGGTCACATGATCCCCTTTTGCGATGTTCTGACAAGCCAAGTGAAGCCAGATTCACTTTACAACCATGCTACTAATTTAACTGCAATGACTGTGGCAAGAAAGGTCGTAAAATGGAACAACTGTCACTTTAACAATTGTCACACTTAACAACAAAAATTTTGGGCTCAGCTGTGGTTGTAAATTGAGGACTACCTACATTGATATGGCTTTTCCATTCTCTTGTCAATCGTCCACCTAGGTAGGGTGGGCAGTGGAATTTAATTAATAAATAAATTAGTTAATTGATTTTTTTAAAAAAGAATGATGTGAGAATCCTCTGTCAAACGCCAGGGAAATCAGGAGATTCGGGCACTTCAAATGCGTATACAGATTTATTGCAAACTTAAGCTCTCTACAAGAATCTGATCAACTAACAGTCAAGGGAAATGAGCGGAAGATAAGAAAGGAATTCAAGGCGGGCTGGACTTATATCTCTTGTGGGCACGCAGGGACTCATGACTTACGACACGTTTGACGACTCCTTTGGACTCACCCTAGTCATCTACATCAGCAGTCCGTAGCGTTTCCAGCTTGGTGGCACAGCCAACGTGTTTGTGTGTGAGAGTGTGTGAATGGCAGGCGCACGCACAGCTCTGATTGTGTGAGCAACGCACGCTCCCTACGCTGATCCAACTGGAGCTTCACGTGTGAGTAGAAGGTGCTTGCAATCAAGCACGAAGCTTCACTCGCGAGCTAGTGCCCTCCGCTCTGTAGCTTCACCCAGAAGTGCCCTCTGCTCACGTGAGGGGAACTTAATGTGCACTTCCCCATTGCCCATTTTTGAGCAAGCTATGGCTCAGTAGTGACTGGGGTTGGCAACTCCTGTTCTACATCCTTTTGGCTTAAGAAACAGAGAAGGGTTTCCGTTGTCCAAAGTAAAATGAATTCTGAGCTAGATGGACGAAACATCATCCAATGTAATTAAGGCAAAATGCAATGCTTCAATGTGTGATTTTTTTTTTTCAACCAAGTGTTGTTCCCCCTATTGTGAAACATCCAGAAGGATTTAGGGGTGTCAAACTTGGGTCGTCACAGCAGCATCATGTGACGTATTGGGACTCACCCCCCCCCCCTTTGTTAAAGCACGGTGGCTCAGTGGACAAGACACTGAACCTGTCGATCAGAAAGGTCGGCAGTTTGCCAGTTCGAATCCCTAGCACTGCGTAATGAAATGAGCTCCTGTTACTTGTCTGCCAACCTAGCAGTTCGAAAGCATGTAAAAATGCAAGTAGAAAAACAGGGACCACTTTGGGGGAAGGGAACAGCGTTGTGTGCGCCCTCGACGTTTAGTCATGCCAGCCACATGACCACGGAGACGTCTTCGGACAGCGCTGGCTCTTCAGCTTTGTAATGAAGATGAGCACCACCCCCTACAGCTGGAAACAACTAGCACATATGTGCAAGGTGAACCTTTACCTTTACCTAAATCGGGCGGGGGCAGGGCCAGCACGTGACGCATCCAGCCCGCAGCCTGTGAGTTTGACACCCCTGGATTTGTTCCAAGCCCAGTTTTGGTTTTGATTCAGCGACTTCCAACGTCTCTCTTCCCCTTTTCTGATGGTAGGACAGAAACCAAATATCCCCACTTGGATATTGGTGGCATATACATATAACCCCAAATCCTCCTTTTCACTAAACTAGACCTACCCAGTCCCTTTAACCGTTCTTCATATGTTTTAGCCTCCGGTCCCTTAATCATCTTGGTTGCTCTTCTCTGCACTTTTTCTAGCGTCTCAACATCTTTTTTACATTGTGGCGATCAAAACTGGATGCAAAATTGCAAGTCTTACTATTACATTCATTTAGTGACTGTTCAAAGTTATAACTGGGGAAGACAAAAGGGAAACGAAGATGGTGAGGAACAAAGCAGACGGAGTCTGTTGCAGAAATCATGTGTTCCCTGTTAAGAAGATCTGAAGGATCGGTTGGAGAATAGATCATCCTAGAGAAGGTTTATCTATACGCAATCGAAAGGCATTACCAACTTCATAACATATAATATAGACCTTTATGGATTATGGTGGCGCAGTGGTTAGAGTGCAGTATTGCAGGTTAACTCTGCCCACTGTCAGCAGTTCGATCCTGACCAATTCAAGGTTGACTCAGCCTTCCATCCTTCCGAGGTCGGTAAAATGAGGACCCAGATTATTGGGGGGCAATTGGGACCCGAACTTCCATTGCTGAGTGAAATGATTGTTAAATGAGTCATGCCCTATTTTATGACATTTTGCCATGGCTTTCCTTGTTGGAAGCCAGCTTGAGGGTGGGGGTGGTCACAGATGATGAACACATGACCCTGGGCTACTGCAGCTGTCGTAAATACAGATAGTCCTCGACTTACAACAGTTCATTTAGTGACCGTTGAAAGTTACAACTACATTGAAAAAAATGACTTGTGATTCATTTTCACACTTACAACCATTGTGACATCTCCAGTCACATGATCAAAATTCAGCCGTTTGGTAAGTGCTTCATACTTACGACCACTGCTGTATCCCAAGATTGTACGACCCCCTTTTGCGACCTTCTGACAAGCAAACTCAATGGAGAACCAGATTCCCTTCACAACGGTGTTACTAACTTATCAACTGCAGTGATTCACTTAACAACTGTGGCAAAAAAGGTTGTGAAGTGGGGCAAAACTCACTTAACGTCTCATTAACATAAATTTGTAAGTGGTCGTAAATCAAAGACTACCGGCATTGATATAACGACAGCATGATTTAAGCTTGTGTTTTCCCTTTCTATTCTTGTTCCAGTTTGATTTTTCAGGATATAAGAAACCACAATTGGGTTTGTTTTTTTCTTTCTAGGGGTAGTCCAGCTGCTATCCCAAATTTCTCCCCAAAAATAATATTTTCAAACAGGTCTGTATTGCATAAAAAAAAAAAAAAGAACGTGTTCATTCATCAACACACTCATTCATGCACAACAGACACAAACACACCAAACATCCCACGCTTTGTCTGTCAGGCGTCCCAGAAATTTCCTGAAAGTAAGCCTGGAGGATTTTTTTTCTAAAATACCGTATATTCTTTCCCACGTGACTCTTTGTTTTCGTATGATTCTTCCCCCAATCATTGGGCTAGGATGGTTGTTGAAGCCAAGAATTTGATAGCTGATTGGCTTGGCGTTTGCTGGGAAGCGGGTTTGTTCTAAAACTTTTTAAAACCCTACCGTTATTTTCTTTTAATAAATAGCTCAAGACTCCAATACTTCCTTCTCCTCCTATTTTCTTGACACTAGTCCTCTGAGGTGGGTGAGAAAGAATGACTGGCCCAAAGTCGCCCAGCTAGGTGGGACTAGAACTCACCGTCTCTGGTGGGACTAGAACTCACCGCCCAGAGTCAGCCCACTATCTTTCTTAGGGGTGAGCCCGTTCTGTTAGTCATCCTTTTAAAAGATACATGCTTATGCTGGCTAGTTTTATTTTGAGGAAAGGACTCACCATCTCCTGGTGATTGGAGTAAAATCACCTAACCAACTTTCATGACCAAGGTGGCGCTAGAACTCCCCGTCTCCCGGTGATTGGCCCAAAGTCATCCAGCCGGCTTTCAGGTTTGGGATGTTATAAATATATCCCAGTTGCCAAGTGACCAAATTTTGATCAGGTGACCTTGGAGATATTGTGAAAGTCATATGTGTGAGGACTGGTTGTAAGTCCTCCTTTCAGTGCCGTTGCAACTTTGCTAAACGAATGTTCCACCTGTACATTTGCCATGACTGTTGGAAGAAGAAAGACATTCTCTGGGAATGTTGGAGGTAGGATGCCTTTTTTTTTTAAATGCTAAATCCAAATTTTGATTAGAATCTCAAAGTAGGAGTTGCCTTGAAGCCCATTTGAGCTCCTGATTCATCCATATCATTTTCTGAGTGTGTTACAAAGTGATCCCCAATGGTTTGTTCCAGGATGTTTTTCAACCTCTCTTAATTCCCGGATTCCAAAAATGACTTCCCATCCAAGACCTGACCCAGATTAGCCAAAGCCAGCTAATTGGTGCCACCAAGGCAAGATATACCTTCCTAATAACTTTTCTTTTTTTTTGGCAGGGCGGCTATTATTACTGAAGGTCTTAACAGTGCAAGTGCACCAAGTCAAGAGCGGGACACAGACCTAATGACGATACAACCATGGGTGAGTCTTTTTCTGTTTGGGGGTTGATCCTGTATTTTTGGGTGGTGTAGAATGGGTTGTCTTTCAGTTCCTGTGGAATTGATGAAGTATAAGCATATACAAGAACAGCAATTAACAAAGAGTAATAAGCTATGGTGGGATTCAATTTTTTTTACTATTGGTTCTGTGGGTATGGCTTGGTGGGCATGGCTTGGCTTGGGCGTGGCAGGGGAAGGATACTGCAAAATCTCCATTCCCTCCCCAGTCCCCACTGACCTGCTTTCCAGCTCCGTTCTCCTGTGCAGGGCAACCAAAGAAGAGCCAGCCAATCAGCTGGGACTCAATGGGAGGCAGAGAATAGAAGGGGGCGGGGCCAGTCAGAGGTGGGATTAGCCGGTTCTCCGAACTACTCAAAATTTCCGCTACCGGTTCTCCAGAACTGGTCAGAACCTGCTGAATACTCACCTCTGGTAATAATGACGTTGTGTGTCTTTGATACAATGCGTCTTCTCATCCAGCCTAGAATTGTGTTAGTTCTCCTATCAGTTGTCTTCCACTGATGACTGATGTTCAGCTTGTTGTCCATATCCACAGTTGATCCTCAGCTTATGCTCCTTTTAGTGACCATTCAAAGTTACAACAGTACCAAAAACATTGACTTATGACTGTTTTTCACATTTGTAGCATTCCCCTGGTCACATGATCAAAATTCAGACGCAAGAGGACATGATTAGGAAAATACTAGAATGTGCAGAAATGAATAGAATAACTCTGGCAGTTAAAGAAAACAAACAAACTGAGTATTATATGATATGGGAAATATTCTATCAATGCTTGGAAAAGAAATATGAAACTTAGAAATTAAACATATGAACATTTAAGATACCTATATAGAATATATATGAATATAGAAGGGAAGGAGTTAAGAAGGGGATGGCTATAACGATAAGAAGTATTATGTATAGTAGTACAAAATAAGAATGCATTGTAATTATTGTTGTTATGGTAAGGAAATTGAATTAACCATAAATACTTGGCACAAGATACGTGTACCCGACATATCTGTTTAAAGAAAAGATAGAATGTTTGTAAAAATAAAATTAAAAAGCCTTTTTTCAAAAAAAAAAAAAAAATTCAGACACTTGGGAATTAACATCTTAATACAGAATATTCTCAAAGTTACCCCAAAGTTCTTTGTTTTTTTGACAAGGCAACTGGACTTTTTTGTTTTTTCTTTGAAGATGTTTCGCTTCTCCTCCTAGTAGCTACTTCTTCGAGCTAAAGAAGCTTCTAGGATGAGAAGCGAAACATCTTTAAAGAAAAACCAGTAGCTTCTTGGGGGAAAAAAAAGTACCTTTGGGACAGGCGTGACGTGGAGGATTGAGAGTCTCCACAGACAATCTCAAAGTGAATAAGATAAAACCAGAAACTTTTCTTCCAAAAGACTTGGGGGGAAAATAGGAACTTTGACGTTATATGTATGTTAATAGTAGCAAAACTACCTTACACACAAAACCGGAAGGACACGTTGATCTCCCCGTTACTTGGAAACCATTCCTGGGCTTTGTGCTTGTGGTGGGGAAAAAAAACGAAACTTTGATTTTGGGTTTTACCGATTAATGGGCTTATTGTTATAGAAATGGCTAGTTTATATTATTATGTGAAAATAAAAAGTTTAGGATACTATTATCAATTGCACCCAAGAGAGTCGGAAATCAATGCCTTTCCTTGCTATTTTCCCTTTGCCTCACATTTTCCCCCTTCCTCTTTCCTTCCCCTGAAATTTTATTTCGTATTTTTGTATTTTATATAAACTAATAATAAAACAAAATATGTTGGAGAAAAATGTACCAGAAATGATTGGCAATTGACTCGCATTTATGATGCTTGCGGTATCCCAGGGGCACGTGATCCCTTTTGCGACCCACCGACAAGCAAAGTCAGTGGGGGAAGCCAGATTCACTTAACAACCGTGTGACTAACACAACAACTGCAATGACTCATTTAACAAGTGCAGCAAGAAAGGTCGCAAAATGGGGCAAAACTCACTTAACCAATGTTTCCCTTAGTAAGATAAATTTTGGGGTCAGCTGTTGGTCATAAGTCGAATACCCTAATTAGATGTCTAATCTAATCTTCCATTACAATCTATTCCTATTTTCCTGAGGTTGGTGGCAGCTCTTGGGTTCCCAATATGCAGCCTATCAAATCCCATCAGATGGTTTCACCATCTTTAGAAGTGTACGTAGTCCTTGACTGACAACAGTTCATTTAGTGACGGTTCAAAATTACAATGGCATCGAAAAAAGCGACTTAATCATTTCTCACACTCTTGTAGCATCTCCATAGTCACTTGGTTCGCATTCGGTTGCTTGACATTTATGACCGTTGCGGTGTCCCAGGTGGGGTGGGGTGTCACGTGGTCCCCTTTTGCGACCTTCTGACAAGCAAAGTCAATAGGGAAGCCACATTCACCTAACAACTGTGTGACTCACTAAACAACCGCAGGGATTCTCTGCTTTTCCTCTTTCTCCTTCTCCCTCCTTCTTTCTCCTCTTTTTCACCTCCTCCCTTCTTCCTCTCTTCTCTTCCTCCTCCTCCACTTCTTCCTTCTCCTCCTCTTCCTCCTCCTCCTCCACTTCTTCCTCCTCCTCCTTGTCTCATCCTCCTCCTTCTCACCTTCTCCCTCCCCCTCTTCCTCCTCTTGTTCTTCCTCTTCCTCCTCCTCCTCTTCTCATCCTCCCCTTCTTCTCTTCCTCCTCTTCCTCCTTTGCCTCCTCTTGTTCTACTTGTCCTACTTCTCCTCCCCTTCTCCTTCTTCTCTTCCTCCTCCTCTTCTCCTCCCCTTCTTCGTTTTCTTCCTCCTCTTCTTCCTCTTCCTTTGCTCTTCTCTTCCTCCTCCTCTTCTCCTCCTCCCCTTCTTCCTTTTCCTCCTTCTCTTCCTCCCCTTCTTCCTTTTCCTCCTTCTCTTCCTCCTCTTCTTCCTCTTCCTCCTTCTCCTCCTCCTCTTCCTCCTCTCCTCTTCTTCCTCCTCCTCTTCCTCTTCCTCCTCCTTTCCCTCTTCCTCCTTTTTCTCTTCCTCCCCTTCTTCCCCCTCCCCCTCCTCTTCAGGTGCCTCCTTGTATAGCGGATTGGCCACTAGAAAAATCGATGGCTGAACCAGATAGGAACAGAGCTCTGATCCAGCATACATTGCTCATTTTACACTCTCTTCTCTTCTAGCAAACTTATATTTTAAATATAAGTTAAAAGTAAATATAAGTTAAATATAAGTTAAAAGTAGCCGAGTCTGAAATTCACTGGCATGAAATTTATACACTTAATTTCCCTGGCCGATTGATATTTGCCTAAGGCTAAGACAGCCACGAGTCCTAAAAGACTTTGGTGGTACATACTAGTAGTAACTGCGTATGGGTTCTAGTTGCCCTGGTGGACTCCACCTAAGCATGAACCAGCCATGTGCTGCCGCTCCCATCCACAGAGGGATATAACCTCAACAGCCTGGGAAGTATGAGTACCACTCTGTGCTATCCTGCCGAAGCCACGCTTGGAATACCAAAACTGGTTCTGGATACTACAATATAAAAACGATGAAGGGTCTGGAGGCTAAAGCAAATGATGAACAGTTAAGGGAGGTAGTTATGTTCATCCTAACGAAGAGAGTGGAAGGGACGCGGTGGCTCAGTGGCCAAGACGCTGTGCTTGTCGATCAGGAAGGTTGGCAGTTTGGCGGTTCGAATCCCTAGCGCCGCGTAACGGAGTGAGCTCCCGTTCCTGGTCCCAGCTCCTGCCATCCTAGCAGTTCGAAAGCATGTAAAAATGCGAGTAGAAAAATAGGGACCCCTTTGGTGGGAAGGTAACAGCGTTCCATGCGCCTTCAAAGGCATTTAGTCGTGCTGGCCACATGACCACGGAGACGTCTTCGGACAGTGCTGACTCTTCAGTTTTGTAACAGAGATGAGCACCGCCCCCTAAAGCCAGAACTGACTAACACCTATGTGTGAGGGGGAACCTTTAACGAAGAGAAGGCTCAGAGGAGATATGAGAGCAGTCTTCCAATACGGGTAGTCCTCGGCTTACAACAGTTCACTTAGTGACCAAAGTTGCAATGATACTGAAAAAAAGTGAATCATTTTGACATCCCCGTGTGATCAGAATTCAGATGCTTGGCCGACGCCTCGTACTTATGATGGTTGCTGTGTCCCAAGGTCATGTGATCCCCTTTTGCGATCTTCTGACAAGCACGAGAAAGCCAGATTCACTCAACGACCGGTTTATAAACTTACCCACCGCAGTGAATCATTTGGCAACAACTCGCAAGACAGGCCGTAAAAGAGAGAGGCAAAAGTCGCTTAATCACTTAGCAATAGAAATTTCGGGCTCAATTGTGGTCGTAAGTCGAGGACTATCTGTACTTGAAGTGCTTAGGGAAAAGGGCATCAATTTAACTCTTTACGTTTTTTCTTCAGGGCAGGGCAAGAAGTAAGGGGTGGAAGATTGTTAAAGAGCAATACAATTTAAAAATAACCAGAAATTTCCTGACAGGGAGAGCCATTAATCAATGGATTAATTAATTAAATTGCTTTCCAGAATTGTGGGAGCTCCAGCGCTGGAGGCTTTTCAAAGAGATTGGACATCCATTTGTTTGGGATATTATAAGGACTCCTGACTTGGCCAGGGGGTTGGACTAGAAGACCTCCAAGGTCCCTTCCACCTCTATAATTCCATATATACGATTTTTAAATATATAAATTTCTGCAAAATAGAGAAATGTTAACAGGTTAACAGAGTTGGAAGGGCCCTTGTAGGTCGTCTAGGCCAACTCCCCACCCAAGCAAGAGACCCTACACCAGTGATGGTTAACCTTATTGGCACTAAATGCCTAAAGCACGCTCCCCAAATACAACAGACGCGCACCCCCTGCATGCGCCCCACCCCGTGCATGCACATGTGACCCCCCCTGTGACCCTTGTGTGTACACGCATGACCTGCACATGCACCCCATATCCAGGCATGTGTGC